CTAAATCCTTATCCTCATGGGCTGGGAACCTAAGGCTCAGAGAGGTTGAGTGACTCGTTCAGATTTGAACAGCTTCCATGTCACTCAGGTCTTTTCCCCTCCTGCTCAGGCACACCCCCCACCCTTGATGTCTGCTGCCCACAGCTTCAAAAATGAGGCTTTGCCAGGCCCAGTACACCTGCCTGTAATTCCAGCAACTGAGGCAGGGGGATGGCAAGTTTGAGACCAGCCTTAAAAGCTTAGTGAGATTCTTCAGCAACTTAGCTAGACCCTTTCTCGAAATAAAAATCAAAACGAGTTGGGGATGTAACTCAGTGGTAAAGCACTCCTGGGTTCAACCCCTAGTACCAAAAGACAAATGGGGGCCTTTGCCCATGTCACTCTTGTGACACCAGCTATAAACATCAATGTCCCTACGGTTGGCAACCCTGGACCCAGAATCCCATGGTTCTCTTGCAGAGGTGGGGACAATGACATTCTCCCAGCCCAAGCCAGGCTTCATCATCTGCAGACTTGCAGCTGGAACAGTTTTTCCAGCAACAGCCTCAGACAACATCTGTTTTGTTCTTCCAGACATGGTTTCCCCATGTACATGTGAACAGGTAAATCAAGATAGACAGTGGCCCTCATGAGTGTCTGAGTCTGCGGCAACTGCAGGAGAGTTCTCCTTCTTGTAGAAATGGGAGAGACGGACCAACAAGGGGAAAACTCTGAGCAGTGTTCTGGTTTTGCTCACTCAGATAATTGAACTGCAGCCAAGTGGGCTCCCCTCTCTCCAGGAGGTGTATGGGGCACGACTGTCCTTGAAACCTTTGGAACCGCAAACTGACTGTGAAAAGCCCCAGAAACATGTCTTTACATCTGGCTTAGCTTCAGAATGCTCATCTATAGAGTGGACACTAGTATCTTCCTCAAAGGACTATTTGGGGGTATAGCAAAAGGGCTCCAAGTTCTTGCTCATGGATGAATAGGTGGTCTGGCACCTGTAGATGCTGTTAGTCAGCTTTTCATCACTGTGACCAAAATACCTGATGAGAAAATCTTAGAGAAGGAAAGATTTATTTTGGCTCATGTTTTCAGAGGATTCCGCTTGTGGTCAGCTGGCCCCCTTATCCTGGGCCTCAGATGAAGCAGAACACCATGGCAGAAGGGTGTGGTGGAGGAAAGCGTCTCACCTCATGACCATCGGGAAGCAGACAGAGAGACAAAGGAGGGAACTTGGAGAGAAGATGAATGCTTGCAGGGCACGCTCTCAGTGACCTACTTTCTCCAAATAGTTCCCACCTCCCAGTAGTCCATTTAGCCGTCAGTGGATTAATCCACTAATGAGGTCAGAGTTCTCTGATCTAAAACTTCCCACGAATCCTCCCCCCAAACACAAGAGACCTTGGGGGAACATTTCAGATCCAAACTAAGAGATGCTGAACCAAGTGCACTCCCCATGGTGGCCTAGAAACTCATGAAGGGCTGTGCTTTGGGCCTTCCACCCCTGCAACTTACACCCTGCAGTCCTCGTGTGTGTCTGCCTTGCTATTTGCAGAAGCAGCAGAGTAAGAGCCCCGTAGTGAGCATGGAACCCACCTCTGGCATGTTCTCACCAGCTCTGGCAGGCCTCACCACCTATCTTCCTGAAGCCAGTGAGAAAGAAAGGCTGAAAGCACTCCTCATCTCAAATACCTGTGCCCATCAAACCAAGTGATCCTGTATCTCCTCTCAGCCCTGGATCTTGTTGAACTCGACAGCCTTTTAAAGAGAATGCCAGGAAATGATGAGGACAGACCTGAGGCCTCCTTACCCACCCAGGCCCCCTCCCTCTCTTCTTCCTTCCACCACCATCACCCGGTCCCATCCCAGGGTTGGAGAAGGAATCCTCCCAACAGAGGAGGAGCAGAAGGACAAATGGGAGACAAGCCTGGTTGGGGAGTTTGCCTGATGCCAATAAGGAAGCAGTCTAGGTCAGGCCTGGAGGAAGGAGGATGCAGCAGGGTGACTCTCAGGTGGGATCTGGCCCAGCTACTGGGGTACTGGTGATGCCTGCACTTAGGGAAGGCAAGTAATTAGGAGATGAACTGGAGTTTGGACATGTTGCCTCCTAGTGGAGTGGAAGGTTTGAGTGTGAATCTCACAATAAAGGGTAGACCAGTTGTCCATTCATGAGTCGGTCACACAAAAACCTTCAGTATTTGGTTTACATTACCTATCAGAGAATGCTCATGAGCCACTTCGTTCTTATTCTCTATTTGGACTCCTTCAGTTGGAAATCCATCTAGGATGCAGGGCCCCCAGCCCCACAGGCCCTGCCCGCTCAGTGACATCCCAGCTCCCACGCAGCTCCAGCCTGCTGGGAGCTGGGCCCACTGGCTCTGGGAGGTGGAGCACTCCACTCTGCCAGGGCAACCACCTGCCCTGCTAGCAGCCCTTTCCAGTGGGCCTGCTGCCTAACCATGCCACCCAGGAGAACCACCCAGACAAATCCATTTGTTCAGCCACTTCAATGCAGTCAAATCAGGCTCAAGTTACCCAGACGGAGAATTTTACAGTTGTACCGGTGATGACCATCAGAAAACCACAATGCTGGTTTCGCTTCAGGTCAAAGGAAGCCCATCTTATTCTCCCATTCATGGCCCCTTTCCTGACATGTCCCAAACGTAAGGCCCAAGGCAAGTGGCCTGCCTGAGCCAAGCTTGGGCCTTCCATGGCCTGGCAAGAGCCCTGAAACTTCAGGGGTGAAAACTGGGTCTTTTCTCTGCTACAAGCAGAGGAACATGATGCCGAGTGTGCTGGTGGGGCTCCTGTTCCCACAGTCCCCCGTCACCCTGAAAATAAATATATCCACAGAGGAGAAAAATCATTCAAGCATGCCAACCAGCCCCTCACACGCAATATATTCTATATGACTAGTTGATGAGATTTCCAGGCCCCCTCATCCCCAACTGGGGTGCTAGGAAGGGGATTTAAAAAAAAGGGGGGAGGGTATTTTGGCCACCAGAGTCCTGAGTTGTTGGTAAGACACCCAGGTGGAGGTGTCAGAGACATAGTTAACAGTGCAGTAGCACAGGTGTCCCAAGCCTTAGCCTAGATTGTGGGCCTGGAGGCACATCATAAGCTATAAAACCCATGCAGGTGTGACAAGTGAATTTTATAGGGGTGCTGGAATCTTGCCCCCCCCAAAGCAACATGGTCCCTGGGAGTGGAGGAAAGAGGATGAGACAGGGTGACTCTCAGGTGGGATCTTGCTCCAAACTCCAAGTTCAAGGTCTGTGCCCAGGATGAGGGAAAATCAAGAGGTATGTCACTGGTATGAGTTTCTCCCCTCAAGACTCAAGAGTTGTGAGACAGCACATTTTAAACATTTAAGTTTTGTTCAACTATTCTGACCTCAAACCCTCAGGCTATGAGCCTGGCAGGAAATTCACTGTCACCTCATCCCATGGGCCTGAGTATGTTTCAAGGTCTAGCAAAGCACTGAGGGGCCCTCTTCCCTCACTGTCCTTCTGAAGCCTCCCTCCTCCCCATCAAGGCACCCTCTTAACCAAAGTCAGGAAGCACCTTTGATCCAGGACTGCGTCTACTTTTTTGCTCTGCTAACCCTTGAGCCAAGGGTATACTAAGGGCTCGACCTCCCATTCAAAAATGGGCAGAAGGAAAAAGGGAAACACATTCATTTTTCCATGGTCCACCAAACTCAGACGATTCATAGCCAATCTCCTGTATCTGCTCCATGGTTATTCTGGGAATTCTTGACAGATTTTGAGGCTGACTTTTGCCAGAAAGGGCAATGCCTTATAATACCTGCCTCTCTGTGGACTTTGTACCCAGCTCTGAGCCTAGCATATAGTGATCAGGCAAGACAGAGGTATAAATGTCATTTGCAGATTGCAATGTAGTAATTACCTGCAATTTCACTTCTGCATATCTTTTCCTCTAAGAAAATGGGAGAATCAGGAATAATTAGACTTAGAGGGGTGGGAAGGGAGGCAGAGCATACGACAAAGGGACACCAGGAAAGTGTGCGGTGAGCTGCATCAGAGGTGACAGGATGAGGGACACTGACAGAAGCTTCAAGGCCTCTACCCTACAACCAAAGGCAAGGACTTCCAACCCAGGGCAGGGAGCTGGCCAGCATTCAGTGGCATCAGGGCCACCCGGGTCTCAGGGACCAATACAGGTAGAGGACCAGAGGTGGAGGCAGGAGGGTCTGCAATTATAAATTCAAAAAGGCTTAAAACTGATGGATGGGGCCGGGCTCCCTGCAGAGCGCTTGCCTAGCGTGTGTGAGGCGGTAGGTGCCATCCCCAGTACTGCGGGTGGGGAGAGTCAGGATGAAGGACTGGATCACGTGCTGGTGTGCACATGGTCTGCAATAAAGTACAACAAATGTATAAGCATCTCCCTGGGCTGGTGGAAAGGAAGGAACTGAAGGTTCCAGTGGATGGTAGTAGAAAGACCGTGGATGGATGGTGCCTCTTGTCACCAAATTGAAGCGTTGGAAATGTCCCATAGTGTCTTTATTGGTCTTGATTGTGTTGGCTTTTTTTTTTTTTTTTCCTTCTTTGATACCAGAAAGCATTTGTCAGGGCTTTCCTAAGAAAACTCTCTCCCTCGGCCTTCTTTGTCTCCTAAGTCTGAAGTTTCTCAGCTGTAAACTCTCTCCTGCCTCAGGAGCCTCCCGAGTGTATATCTTTTTGGTTGGGGAAGAACTTGTGAATGAATAAGTGAACAGAGGGTGGAATTACAGTAAGGAGTGAGGAATGCAGCCCAGCAGGGAGCCGGTGTCTGGAGGAGCCAGGGCAGGGGACAGCAGAAGTAAGCGGCTTCTTCTCTCCGCCACCAGCAGGCCGGCCTCGGCCTCAGCCTTGGCCATGTGGCAGGCTGCTCCCAGGATACTGTCACAGGTGTGGGCAGGTGGGCCCCAGCAGTGGGGAACCAGCAGCTGGCAGGCTGTTCCCAAGCCCCCTGGCTTCCCTTCTCAATGAATCCATCTTTGTTTTCCTCCCTAGGTGCCCCTGGACGGCGTGGCAAGCCCGGAAGAAGAGGCGACCCTGGTGAGTCCTGGGTTTTCTTAATTTCTAAACCAGGCCTGGGAAGAACACAACTGGCCAGAACCTGGCTGGAGGTGCCAGCCACCGACTCCCACCTTTAGTCATGCCCTTCGATCCTGAGTCAGTTCTTCCTCCCCTTTCTAATGCCAGCTGCTGTCCCCAGAGGCCACACTTCCCAATACTGCCTTTTCTTGGCTTCTTGACATCCATAATTCCAGGACTGTCCCATCTCTGCCCTCAGCCACCCCCTGAATCTGTTTATCAGCTTTAGAAACTTCAGTCCCTTGTCAGCCACTCTGAAGTATGGCCTCTGCCATGTGGAGGGCAGTTACGACTCTGCCAGCCCAGGCTCTGCCATGCTCTGTCAACCTGCCAGGACAGTTCTCCTGCATGTCTCACTCCCTCCCCAAACTTGGCCTCTCCTTCCCTTGGCAGAGGAAGCCCTTGGGAGGAGGCTCCTCCTCCTTCCAAGCAAACTGCAGACGGACTCACTTATCTACACCACCTTCCTCCCCATCATTTCCATTTCACCCAAAATAAACTCACATTGCACAGTCCCTAGTATCCCCTCTCCCCGCACCTGGCTGCCAGCAACTAAGAGGCATTAACCACATCCCCTCTGCCTCGTCTTCATCTCACCCAAAGGCCAAATTTACCAATGGTTTCCTTCGGGTCATACCAGCACACACTCTGTAGTGTTTAACTTTCTTAGTTACTTACTTAACTTCTTCTCTTCCTTTTCTGTACTCAGTAAATGCTATCTACAAAAAGAAAAGAGTCATTGGAACACTCGTATGCCCTCGTCCCTTTCCACATTCCTTTGTATTTGTGTCTGGAATAGAAGATACAAACTACAGGTGTATCTTAATGATCTCAGCATCAACAGAATGAGGGTGAGAGTGTGAACATGGATAAGAGAAACCATCAGGACTTTGGCAAAATAGGTGCAAAATTTGCAAGTCAGATGAAACACTCACTGCTTAAGGACTATTCTATTTTTAAGTGTGATAGATTGATTATAGATATCTTAGTATTTCGTTTCCCTAAATATCTGGGGCTGCTTAAAGAAAATGCTTTAAAGGTTCATATTATTTGAATTAGTGGTTCTGTGGTCACAATCCTAGTATAAGATTGTTTTCTCTTTAAACAACGTCTTTATCTTTCTTGACCCTCACTCTGTGTCACTTCCCTTCCGCCCTGGGTATTTCTGGCTCAGTTCAGGGCCCACATCTGACCTCTAGTTCTTTGCCTTTTTCAATGAGACCCCCACTTGCCTCTTAAATGAATCCACCTTTGGCCCTCTCCTCTCCTCTCTCCCCACAGTCTCCCACTCCTGTGGCTTCAGCTACTCCAGTGACACTGAGGACACCTCTCTCCCTGCCTCAAGCCCAGTCCTTTCCTCTGGGTCCCAGAGATTAGACACTGCTTCACCAAACTCAGCATCTCCTCCCCTCTTCTCTGCTCCGGCTTCACCACCTCAGGGAGGAGACACCAGCCACCTGCTCCCCTGTGCGGACTCCAGTATCCCCTGTGACCCTTCCTTTCCCCACACCAAGTCCCCTTCCAAATTCTCAGTACATCTCGGAGCTGGGCCACTTTCTCTCTCTCATGGCCACAGCCTGCAGCGGCTCTCACCCCGACTCCCTAGTCTATGTCCCTCACATTCAGCCTCACTGTGGGTGTCCAGGGTCCTGTTACCTCTGAGTCCTCACTCTTATGTCCTCCCTTGCCCAGAATATCTCCTTCTTTGTCTAGACTCTTACTCCAAGGTCATTTCTCTTTGTCCTTCAAGTCAAGTTCAAGTAGCTTCTACAGAAAGCCTACTTTAACCCCTCTGGCTAAGGGCTACCACCCCAAGTCTCCAGCATCCAACAGGTAAATGCAGGGGACAGTGAATCACTGAATGACTGACTGTCCTGCCCTTAAGCGGCTTCACAAGAAGGGCGTAGTGGCGAGGCCAGAGGGAGCCACCACCGACAGGACCCCAGGCTGATTGGGCTCAAGAGAATCCAGGGCAGCTTCTCTCAGAGCCTCAGACTCTTCTTCCCAGAGCTGGGTTTGCTCATTAATAGAAAACACCCCTTGTGTTTCTCTTTTTGCCTTGATTTCCAGAAACTGAAGCTGTTTTATGTTTTATGCTAGAAACCTCCATTAGTCTGAATTTGTGTGTATGTGTGTGTTAGCACACCCACTGCACCCCCACACACACCAAATACACGCTCATCACTCAGTTCCTATTTTCTACCATCATAAAAGATTTTACTGCCTTTTATTGTAAGCTCCCTGAAATTCTTTTTGGAAGGGTGTGAGGAATACGTACTTACTTTTCTTTTTTTTAAATATTTTTTTAGTTATAGTTGGACACAATACCTTCATTTTATTATTTATTTATTTTTAAGTGGTGCTAAGGATGGAACCCAGCACCTTGCACATACATACTAGGCGAGCACTCTACTGCTGAGTCACAACCCCAGCCCCACGTAGTCACTTTTTTAAGGACAAAGTAGAGTATGATTCAGCTTACTGGAAAACCCATTCCAAAAGGGGAAATGGATCTGAATAGACATTTCTTAAGGAAGACATACAGATGGCCGAGAGTTTTATGAAAAAATATTTAATAACATTAATCATCAGGAAAGTACAAATCAAAACCACCTTGGTAATTACCTCACCCTCGTAAGAGTGGATATTATCAAGAATGAGAAATTGTAAAAAAAAAATAAGTAAATATAATAAAAAAATTTTAAAAAATAAAGAAATTATACTCCATCTATGTATGATGTACCAAAGTGTGTTCTACTGTCATGTATAACTAATTCGAACAAATTTTCTTAAAAGAAGCAAAAGGTAAAAAAAAATGACTAAAAATAACAAGTACTGGCAAGGAGGTGGAGAAAAGGGAATTCTTGCACACGATTGGTAGGAATGTAAATTTGTGCATCCATTAGGGAAAACCTATGAAGTTTCCTGAAAAAAATGCTCAAATAGGGACTGGGGGTGTGGCTCAGTGGTATAGTGTTTGCCTAGCATGCATGAGGCCCTGGGTTCGATCCTCAGCACAATAAACAAATAAATAAATGTTTAAATAGGATTACCATCTCATCCATCAGTCCTGGGTAGTTATCAAAGGAAATGAATTCAGTATGTTGAAGGCATCCACACTTTACGTTTAGTGCAACTCTATTCACAATAACCCAGAAATGTAAACAATCTAAGTATCCATCAACTGACAAATGAATAAAGAATATACACCATGGAATACTATTCAGCCATAAAAAGAATGAAATATTGTAATTTGCAATAATATGGAAGAGGTCATTAGGTTAAGTGAAATAAGGCAGACACCAAAAGACAAGTACTACTTGATCTCACTCATGTATGGAATCTAAAAATTGATCTCACAGAAGTGTGGAGTAGGGTGGTGGTTACCCAAGTCTGTGGGCAGTGGGTGGATTGGCATTGAGGAAGTGTTGATCAATGGGTACTAAGTTACAGTTAGATAAGACCAAGAAGTTCTGGTGTGTTATTACTCAGGAGTGTGACTGTAGACAACAATAATGCAGTATATATTTCAAAAAGCTAGAAGAGCCAGGTGCGGTGGTACATACCTATAATCCCAGCAGCCTTGGAGGCTAAGGCAGGAGGATCACAGGTTCAAAGCCAGCCTCAGCAATTTAGTGAGACCCTGTCTCAAAATAAAAAACAAAAAGGGTTGGGGATGTGGCTTACTCATTAAGTGCCCCTGGGTACCATGGTACAAAAAAAGAAAAGATTTTCAAAACCTTCACCATAAAGAAATTATGAATGTTTGAAGAGATAAATATGTTTAATCTGATTTAAACATTACAAAATGTATACATGTATTAAAACATTACATCACACCTCATCAATGTGTACAATTTTCTGACCAGTTTAAAAATAAAAAAATTTAGTAAATACAAAATCCAAGGATGTAACAAAAGCTGCTTTATGAATTCTTCAAAACTGGGTTTCATTTAAGGAAATATCTACATTATTTGACTGTTCAGATTGCTCTGAATTATCATGAAGATTGTAGTAAATATAGGATAATGTATCCAGCCATTTACTAATATGTTTGAATAAATAAACCAAATTAATACACATAATTTATAGTTAAACAATCATGGTTACTAATAGCTCACTAGCATCTGGTTTGTCTACTTGCTTTTAGAAAAAAAAATCTAGAAAAAAATGAAGGTCCTTAAGAAAATCATAAAAATAAAGTACTTTGCCAGATGTGGTAGAGATGCATGTCTGTAATCCCAGCAACTCTGGAGACTGAAGCAGGAAAATTACAAATTCAAGGCTAGTCTCAGCAACTTAGGAAGACCCTATCTCAAAATTTAAAAAAATAAAAAGGACTTGAGATATAGCTCAGTGGTAAAACTTATAATATATAAGTGGTAATTTTTTTTTTTACTTAGCAATTTAAATATGGAGGAGGAAAGAAAGAAAGAAAACCCATTCAAATTAGGACTCCAGTTTATTACAGTCCAAGAAAGAGCCCCAATATATATGAAGCAAAACCTGACAGGACTCAACAATAATAGTGGTGGACTTCAGTACCCCATTTTTTTCTTTTTTTAATATTTTTTTAGTTGTTGCCGAAACTTTTTTCTTTTTTATTTACTTATATGCGGTGCTGTGAATCAAACCCAGTGCCTCACATGTGCTAGGCAAGAGCTCTACCACTGAGCCACAACCCCAGCCCCAGTACCCCCATGTTTAACAATGAATAGAATCAACAGACAAAAGAAGTGAAGAATCAGAATAAACATAGAAGCCAAGCATACCTAACTGACATCTATAGACTATCCCAACGAACATCAGAACACACACTATTTTCAAGTGAATATGGAATATTTTCCAGGACAGGCAATGTGTTAGGCTATTAAAAAAAAAAAAAATTAAACATCCTACTCCTAAAAGACAATGACTCAAACAACAAATCACAAAGGAAATCAAAATATCCTTTGAGATGA